TGATTTTAAAATATGATTTTTAATAAAATAAGTTTGTCTAGACGTGTTTTTTAAATAAAACAAAAGCAATAAACTTAAAATTTATTTTTTATTACATAATAAAGGTGTTGTTATGTTTTTATCGGGCAATGTTTTTAAGTTTTTTAACAAAAAAATAGTAATTAACATGTTGTATATTAAAAATAGTTTGGTTTAACATTCAGCCAATGTAAATTTTTTTGTTTTTAAGTTTTAAAGTTGAGTGATTTCAATAGAATGTTTGTTGTTTATTAAAATATTATTGTGTTTGTGAAAGTGATTATAAGATTATCAACATTCTAATAGAAATGATAAGCAGTTGATCACACTTTTTAAACAATGTTGATAATTTTTATCAAAAAATAACACATTGTTGTACAAATGTGATATTTTTATAACACCCTTTTACAGATTTATTTTTTGAACAAGCAGTTGATTATTAATGATTAATAAAGATTATTATTTTTATAACTTGTTTCAACTAAAAAAATTTAAAAGTTATAAATTTTTAGTTTATGTGTTTTTAATAAAAATGATACCTAAAATAAAAATTTCTTGGATTGCAAAAAACTTTGAAGAGGTAAAAAATTATAATTATTACAAAAACATATTTTAAACTTGATTTTTTGCATTACATTTTAATATTTTCAAAAGTTTTTTAAATATAAAAAATTTGTTTTTACAATTTCTTTTGTTTTTAGAATTGGAATGACGAAAACGAACGAAATTCAATATTGTCTCTTGATTATGAAGATTTTTTAAGTATTCTTTCTTCAAATAAACTGAACATCAAAAGCGAATACAATACTTGGAAAGTAATTTGCGAATGGGTCAGTTTTGAAAAAGAAAATCGGCACGATTATTTGGACGAACTAATCTACAAGTGCCTTAGATTTGGCCGTTTAGATGAGCATTTTATTGAAACTTTTATTTTTGAGTGTGAACTTTTTACAAAACTTTCTCATGCTATTCAGTCAGGTATAAAACATTTCATACGAAACGTTCTTCATAACAGCAAACAAACAACCATCTATAGCTTTGATTTGTCTGATTCATCTTGGGTAGTTCATTTTAGCCCAAGAGAAATTGAACCATCAGACACAGAACACTTGCTTGTTTGTGTGGATAGTAAAAATGGTTCAACTGAATTCTATGACAGCCAACATAACACTTGGAATCCATCGCCGTTAACATTAAAAGTGACAAATAATCAAGAAAACTTTAAGCTAGCATTGCTCGGTCCCAAAAGCAATATACTGTGCGCACTTGGTGGCAGTGATAAAAACTCCAGTTTCCCCAATGAAATGTGGAGCCGTTCCTTTGATCATCCATCCGTTCCGTGGACTGCCTACAAAGAAACTATAATTCAAAGTAGAGAAAGTTTCTCCAGTGTCGTCCACAACAACAACGACATTTACGTTTTTGGAGGCATGCTGAAAAGTTCCACTACTTCATCTTCAACTCAAGTTCCTCTGCGCACCTGTGAGCTCTACGACAGAGAGCTGAACCAGTGGACTACTGTGGCACCGATGAACATTGCTCGATGCAACTCCTCTGCAGCTGTTTTCAACGGCTACATTTACGTTGCAGGCGGAAACACCGGAAAGAAGCTTGCTGTTCGATCAGTTGAAAAGTACGATCCTCATTCGGATTCCTGGAGTGAAGTGGCGCCGATGGCTACTAGTCGCTCTGATTTTGTTCTCACCCCTTTTGCCGGTCGTCTCTGGGCAATTGGAGGTGTGGGTGAAGATAATCAGCTGTTGTTAATGTCCGCTGCCGAGTCATACGACCCACTGAGTGACAACTGGCGAGCGGAAACTGTACGGTGCGATAAAAGGCGGTGGCGGCATGCAGCACTGGAGTTCAACGGAGAACTCTATGTAGTCGGTAGCAAAAAGAAAAAAGGTGTGTAGCGGAAACCTACAAAAAAAATTTTCAAACAGTGTTATATAATGATAGTTTGCAATGAATCATTTTAATTTGATTTCCTAGGAGTTTGCCGACATGTAGAAAAGTACGTTCCGGGTGATGGTTGGATGGAGTGCGGCCAACTAACGAGTGATATTGAAAAACCGACGCTGATCATTGTGAACAGTGTTTATAAAACCCAGTTCACTTTTGGTTCTTCTAACTAATTCACAACTTTTGATTTATGGTTAAAAATTTATGAAAATATTTGTTTAAAATTTAATTAATATTGTTTAACTTTGTTTCAGGATGATATACGTTAATCAAAATTGATTATTTTGCCCAACAATTGTGAAAATGTTTCATCTGGATTTCCTAACTAAATTAAAGTTTCTGTTTACATGTTGTTTGAAATTGAAAGACAAAAACTAATTGCCCATTTTATTTTAGAGTTAAATATTTGTTTTTATAAAAATTTGCATTTTTTTGCAAAAAATTAAATAATTAGGTACATTGATAACCATTTATTTTTTGAAATTTGTGTTCATATTGTGTATTGCAATGTGTAGATATATGGTTATCAAATTTCGAAGTACTCATTTTGCGATAGTATTGATATGGCAAAATATGATGAATGATATCAGCAAAAGAAATAAACAGCTATTCAAATGAGACAAAAAAGCAAAGACATTTAAAGTGTCAGTTTATTTAATCAAAAACTTAATTTGTGTAGTGCTATTGTAGTCACTTTACATAATCACAGTTTTAAATCCTTTTTCGCACTAAAATACATTTTTACAGTTATGTAATTTTGCTTTATAACAATAAAAATGCTTAAACATGTAATAACAAAACATAAGCAAATTATAAACAAGTTAAACTCTAGCACCTATTTCCCACCTCAATCCTCGGCAAAAGCTCACCCAGCTTGGCGTCCAAACGGACAACTCCGTTTTGACCGTCCGCCCTCGTCGGGCCAATGTTCACCAGCAACAGCGGTTTCTGCAGCGCCAACGCCTGCACCACAAAACGGTAGCTACTAAAGACGGCCAGCGAGGTTCCCAGCACCAGCAGACCGGAACACCGCTCCACCAGACCGCCAATCTCCTCCACCATTGTTCTGGGAACATTCTCGCCAAAGAAGACAATGTCCGGTTTGAGGATGCCCTCCTGGCGGGCGCAATGATCACAGTCGGGCACACGAAAGCGCTCCACAAAGTGCTCCGCCCGACTCAGGTCAATGTCGCCGTCCGGTCGGGCGCCCAGTCCCAGCTGACTGTTTTGTTGACTCTTAAACAGCTTTTCATTTTCTAATAGCAACCCAGCATTCAGCTCTTCAAGCCGACTTTGCATCAGCGTTCGAGCAATTCTCCGGCTGCACCGCAAACAGCGGACCGTGTAGAGGCTGCCGTGCAGCTCCAGCACGTGCTCGCTGCCCGCCTTCTGGTGCAGTCGGTCGACGTTCTGCGTGACAATGGCGCCCAGCTTTCCCGCCCGCTGCCAGCTGGCCAAACTCAGGTGACCGGCATTGGGCTGGGCGCCAAAGATGGTGGACCGCCAGGCGAGAAAGGACCGGGCCCAGTAGCGTTGACGGGCGGCGGCGCTGCCGAGAAAGGCGGAGGCCGTCATCGGTCGATAGGAGGAGTTTCCATTGCCATCATTTGGTGTTCGGGTGTACAGCCCCACGCCGGGACTGCGGTAGTCGGGAATGCCACTTTCGGTGGAGATGCCCGCCCCGGTGAGCACCAGCAGGCGGTCACCGGAGTGCTGGTCAAAGAAGCGTTGCAGCTGGGCAATGTCACCCTGAGAGACGGCTGCTGCCGCCTGACTTTCAGGCTGTTTGGGCACTGCAGTTGATAGGTGAAAATTTGAAGTGATGTTGGCAGTGGTGATAGCTGACAGAAGTGGACGGTTGTCAACTGTCAAACAGAAAAAAATTTGAAGTAATTAAAGATTTGCACAAAAAGTGTTTCAGTGTTTACCTGAAAACTTTGAAGTGAGGAAGGCAGAGCGGACTGCCGACTTTACTTTCAGTTTCATTATTTTGTATTCAAATTGCCGTGATGAGTCTCAACAATAAAAGCTGCTTAACAAAATGTTGTGTTTATATGTTATAAATTGAAAGCCAAATTTTAAATTATTCAGAATTGTCCTCAATTCTAATGCAAAAATATAAAGAAAAAACATAAAATGTTTTGCAATTTAGACATTTGGGGAAATTCGCAAAGTACGGGCGTTTGTTTTGTTTACATTTTTTGATCGGTAACAAATTATGATTTTGATCAATCATTCNTAACGGACTGCCGACTTTACTTTCAGTTTCATTGTTTTTTATTCAAATTGCCGTAGTGAGTGTCAGCAATAAAAGCTGCTTTACCCAATGTTGTGTTAGTATGTTATAAATTGAAAACCAGATTTTAAAGTTATTAGAATCGTCCTCAATTCTAATGCAAAAATATAAAGAAAAAATATAAAATGTTTTGCAATTTAGACGTTTGGGGAAATTCGCAAAGTACGGGCGTTTGTTATGTTTACATTTTTGATCGGTAACAAATTATGATTTTGATCAATCATTCTTAATTTTCCACATCATTTCCTTTTATAGAAACTTAATTTATAATAACGATAAAGNCTTTTACAAATTCTTAATTTTTTACATCATTTTCTTTTATAGAAACTTAATTTATAATAGCGATAAAGATAATGATTATTATGATAATAATAATGAATCATCACTGAATCACCGAACCATTACCGTCAGGTACACTGCATGATTGCAGCAGCCGCGACAGCAACAGCAATTACATAACAATATTGTGAAGATGAAGACAAAGCCAATGCATCAGCAGCAGTACACTTGAACTCTTACAGAAAGAAAGTGCTTATAAGCACAAGAAGGAGCTTACCTGAAGACGATTCTAATTGAGGGTGAAGGTAGTGTGGCCACGTAGTAATCAGCCAGCACAAAAATATTGTCACCTATCGTCGAAGAGTGGTGGCGCCTTCAACGCGCTAAGAACAGCAGTTAATTGCAACATATGTGGCCGTGAAGGAGCAGCAACAGCTCACTTGGCAAGATTGTTGTTGTTGTGTCTCTCTATTTGCGACTTTTTTCACCACTATCACCATTTTCTCAGCTCACTTTCTCTTTACCACAACAGCAACTTATTTATCTTTTTCCTCTTTATCTTTCTTTCTCTCTCTTTTCTTCATTTGGCAGCATCTGAAGGAAGGGCCAGCAATGAACTGCATAGATGTGTTCAGTGCGTCTGCATCTTTTTCCTCTTCTTCCTCTGCTTTTCCTTCTTCTTCTTCTTCTTCTTCTCGTTCCCCAGCAGCAGTCCACTGTATCCTCATCAACACCATCTTCACCATCAACCGCAACCATCACCGCCAGCATTAGCCGTCGTTTGCCGCATCAACCTCTTTCTCCTCACCACCACCACTCGATGTTCTGGCTGCTCACCACGCTCACCGTCATGGCCACCGTCTCTCTGCCGCCCGTGTACCGCCTCCTTCGGCCCATCATCCGTTCCAGCTACCGTCGGCTGATTCAGTATCAGCCTTTCTCCTCCTCCTCCTCCTCTTCAAGCTCAGGTAACACTCCAAAGCCGACAAACAATGCACGCTCTGCGGCGAACATCGTCTACACGCGTACCGGCGACAACGGCTCCAGCGGCCTTTTCAGCGGCGAACGTCGCCCAAAGGATGACGCCGTCTTCGAGGCGCTGGGCACCACCGACGAGCTCACCTCCTCGATTGGCCTCGCGCGGGAGTTTGTTCGCAGCCGGCTGATCCGGGAGGAGCTGGAGGCGGTGCAGTGCATCCTCCAGGACCTGCAGGCGACGGTGGCCACGCCGAAGAGTTCCGCTCGGGAGGCGCAGCTGGCGCGCACCAAGTGGAACGTCGACCACCTGGTCGACCTGGAGGCGTGGATCGACGTTCACTCTGCAGTGCTGCCCCCACTGCGAAACTTTATCCTGCCCTCAGGTGGGCGTGCCTCCGCCTCGTTGCACCTGGCCCGGGCCATCTGCCGCCGGGCGGAACGTCGCCTGGTGCCACTTCTCGATGACGGCCTCGAGCTGCCCGTTCTCCAGTACCTCAATCGACTGAGCTCCTATCTGTTCACAGTGGCCCGAGTGTGCGCCCGTGAGGATGGCTTCGAGGAGACGGTCTACCGACGACCCAGGCAGCAGCAGCAGCAGCAAGAAGAGGGTGAAAATGTTGATCAGTAGTACCACACTTTTATTATTTTACCTGTTTGTTATCACAAATACTCCATTCTATGTCCTGAATCTCCTCTAACGCCTCTTTAATCTCCAAACTNCACACTTTTATTATTTTACCTGTTTGTTATCACAAATACTCCATTCTATGTCCTGAATCTCCTCTAACGCCTCTTTAATCTCCAAACTTTTCCTTGTTTTGGTAATCACTTTGCGCTTTTTTCTATTCAACTTTGAAGTAATGGTAATAAAGCTTTTGATTTGCAATGTTTGTGGTAGTTTGTGCCCACTTTCTACGATTTTAAAAAAGCCCGCACAGTTTAGTGATTTTGTTTCCTCACAGAAGAAACACTAATAGCCAAAAAATGAAGCAGCTTTTTGAAAATAGTCGTTTTATCATTAAGAGTGTTGCATTTTGTGTTTTCTTATCATTAATGAGAGGGGTAGTAGTAATCATTTGCAAGAGTTTTTGTGAATG